CCCTCCCCCCCCCCGCCCCCCGCTCGCCCCCCCCCAGCCGTAAGAGTGAGGCGGGACGGGAGCCCGGTGCCTCCTCTGCCCTTCCCGGCCTTCCCCTGCCTCAGTCTTCTCCTGCGTGCAAACGAGTTTAATTATTTAGCTACCTCCCGAGGGGTCGCGAGGACCAGGCAGGGGCTGGCGGGGACGGGGAGCCGCAGGCCCATGGCATAAAAAGCACTTAGTGACGGATTTGTCTCACCTTCAGAACCCCTCTGTGATTCTGGGGCACCCCTGGCCTTGACGCGGTTCTGCCGCTCCCCATCTGCCTCCTCTTCTCTGCCCGACGGACGGTTTCAACCGCATTTCACTGCGCCTGGTGTTTAATACAATTTAAATCCTCATTGTCGATACCGCAGCCTACATGGTCTTGCTGATGCTGAGTTGCTATATATGCTTGCTGCACTGTGACAGTATTATATAAAAAGCTTTGTATTATTAATTACACTTTTTTGTCTGTTTACATTACAAGCAAATGACATATCAACAGAGAGCTTCTTGCAATATACGTGGGGGAGGGAGGGGAAAGTATGCCAAAGAAATGTCTTTAAAGGGGTCTTTTTGCATTTTTATATAAATAGAATGTTTCTAGCAGATATGTTTTGTTTAATATATTAAAGATTTGCCAATCTGCCAAGATCTACTGTTATTTCTCGTAGATTTTGCTTTCAAACACAACAGACCACCAGGCAGGGAAGAGGGCACCGTTTTACTGAGCGGGCAGCACACTGCCGTGAACAGCCAGCGGCACTGCACCCACACTGCCCAAAGCCGCACCTTTGCCGCGGATTTCCAGCAGCTTCACATCCCTTATTTAACCGAGACAGGGGTAGTTTTCTCTCTGAAAGTTAGGGTGTCTCCTTGACCCACTCACAAAACCCATTCTGTCAGAGGAGGTGAAGCGCGAGAAGGTGAGACCGTCCGCGGAAAAGCTGGAGCAGCGCTACAGAAAACCAGTTCCAGTGGAGGTGCTGGAGACCTTCCCCTGGGCATCACCCCCAGAGTAAGGCCATGGGCTCAGCAGACCCGTGACGCCGCCCCGCAGGACTGGGACTCACCACAACGCCTTTTACAAGAGGCTGCAACGAGAGAGAAGCCAGAAACCCATCCTGGCACCTGACCCAAAGCAGTCAGTCCATTAAAAGCCCCATTTTGGTCCAGAACGTGAAAGGGGACATAGCCCTCTCCTTCCGCACAACCCCACAGCGTGCCATGGCTCTGTCACCGTCGGGTTTCACATTTTTGGTCCCACAGTCCCTGCTGCCCCGGCGTCTCTGGCAGCACCGTCCTCTGGGCCACACCAGACAACCGTCACGGCCAGGCCTTGGCCTGCCTGAAGGCCCGGATCTCTTCCGGGCCCCGCAGGTACTGTTCGATTTCACTGTCGGAGATGGGCTCGTCGCCGGTGATGGCCAAGTCTGAAGCGCTCGGGGCTGCCGTCCGCAGTCTCTTCCTTGGATTGGTAAGGCAGGGTGGCAGCAAGGGCCCCGGGCCGCCCTCACGCTGGCGTTTCCCTTCCGCGGGACAGCCTTCCTCCTGCGATGGAGGAGAGACAGGGGAGTGCTCGCCTGGGGCCGTGGCACGCTGCTCCTCCTCATCCTCCAGGCAGAAGGCATTTTTAAAATTCGGTGTTGCAGCATGTCCCCAATGTGCTTGACCACCGTTTTCTTGTCCATTTTAAACACCCTCAGCCAAGCGAGCTGGGAGGCCATTCTCAGGAGGATCTCGAGAAGCTCCTTCAGCCTCAGGTGCGCCGGTGGGGGCAGATCGACACCCGCCGCCTTGCAGAAACGGGCAAAAGTGCAGGTGAGGCGTGCAGCGGGCTGCAGCGACTGCCACGACAGGAAAGCTGCTTGACCACCGTTTTCTTGTCCATTTTAAACACCCTCAGCCAAGCGAGCTGGGAGGCCATTCTCAGGAGGATCTCGAGAAGCTCCTTCAGCCTCAGGTGCGCCGGTGGGGGCAGATCGACACCCGCCGCCTTGCAGAAACGGGCAAAAGTGCAGGTGAGGCGTGCAGCGGGCTGCAGCGACTGCCACGACAGGAAAGCCGCGGCCGTGACGATGGGAACAGGGTGCCGGCCAGTGACCAGCCATGTCTCGCTGGCCAGCTCCACGATCTGCATCGTTCGGGTGACCATCTTCTCCTTGTCCTCCACAAACGGGGCAGGGACGTCAGCCGCATGCTGGAATAGCCGAAAACTGCAAAAGCAAAGAGCCCATCGTTAGCGCCAGGGCACAGGGAAGCCTCGCCACGCAGCGCCTCGGTGATCCTGCTCAGCGTGGGAGCTGCCTGCAGCAAGGACCTTCAGGACAAACACGCCCTGCTCCTGTGATGGGCTTCTGCTCGTGTTACCTAGCTAAGAGCTGAGCTGCCCACTCTCCACACTGAGGAGAACGGGGCAGGAAGAGAAGAATCACAGCCTGGACTGTGACAAGTGAGGCAAAAAAGCCATCAGAGTCTGTAATAACTCCAGCACACACGTGGGCTGTCACCCCCAGCCCGTCAGCAAACACCAGTTCTGCTCCTTTGACTGCTCAATTCCACCTCCGGGGTACCCGATCCTGGATGGAGCAAGAACTCAATGACGTTTCTCATTCAAGGGACAACACAGCATACTCCCAGATGACAAATTTTGGATGCTGTTGCACCAGCACTGCCACTCGGCCTAATGGGCTCTCGGTAAATAACACTCCCCGTAGCACGCAGGGCTGCAAGCTGTCCAAGGGAACACTTGTTTAAATGTCCAAGGGAACACTTGTTTGGATGATCTGCTTTTGCCCCAGTGCACTCAGTAACAACACGCCTGTGTAACCGCACGGGTCACCCCGCGCGTGCCCTGGCCACGGCTGCATTTCAGCAGCTTTTCCACCCACCGGTGTCCAGCGCAGGACTCTAAAATGGCTGAAACAGCCCCATTACCTGTTCAGGTGTGTCTTTACCAGGTCTGCCAGGCTCAGGGCCGGCACAGAGAGCTCCAGCTCTTTCTGAAGGCTCAGGTAGACGCTGGCAAACAGCTCCTGCTTCGCGTAAAGGAGGGAGCAGATCGTCCCCATCGTCAGGGGCCAGCTGTGCTGTCGACAAGTCACGAAGACGCAGCAGCCCCCCAGGAGCTCCTTCTTCTCCAGACTGACCAGGTGGAAGGAGGGGTGCTGCACAGCTCTCTGGAAGTACGACACCGCCGTTTCCTCGAACACCGTCGGGAGCTGGAGGACTTTACAGAGATCCTGGACCCGCCTGATGCCTGTGAGAAGACACCACCCTTAAAGATCAGCTCAAGCTGATCCTCAGCATCACACCGCAGCCAGCAAAGGCACGAGAGCTGCCCCGTTCCTGCAGTGTCAGAAGGTCTCCCAATTCCCTTAGCACAGGTGAGGCAGTTTGCTGCAGGCAGGCACTGGCTGGACACAGAACTAACCTCCGCCTTTGTGCTTCACTGCCAGCTCCGAAGGTTTTGACCATTTCAGAGAGCATTAGAACCACGTTAAACAAAAGAGAGCAGCAGCAAGAGAGAATGAAGGTGTGAAGGAAACCGAACGGCGTGCTTACCTCGCTGCAGGCAGCGGCTCAGCTGCTCTTTCTGACCAGTGCTCTGGGAATACGCCACCTCTGAAAAACACTCAGTGTTAGGCCAGGTATCTCACAGTGACTCTGGGGGACGGTGTCATCTAGATTTTGAGCAACCAGATGCCCACGGTCCCAGATTTCAATTACCAGAATTGAGAGGTCTTTGAGGCCACTACCCAAGAGCTGGCAGCACAGGTTAAGTGATAGTGAGGAGCAGGGCCCCTTAAAGCCGCCGCTTCTCTACAAACAGAACCAGCAAATGACCTCAGGGCTACTTCACTACACTTGGAAGAGATTAACATGCCAGAGCGCAGCACGTCACACGTTCCAAACCTAAAACCTGGCAGGGAAGTGCTGTCGGTCCGACCTTATAATGGAAAAACCACGCCGGGCCTTCGCTGAGGGAGGGAGGGGAAGGCAGCGGGGCTGCCCTGGGTGCTGCCCTCCTCCCTGGGGAGCCCGCAGAGCTGAGGGCGTGCAAGTGGGCTGACTAAAACGGCTGCTTGGGGAGCGCTTCGTTGCTCAGACCGACTCAGCACGGTCAGAACGAGCTCTTCACCCAGGGTTTTGCACCAGGCCGAATGCAAACGCTCCCGCCCCGCACCTCGCAGGTGCTCCTCCTCGGCGTAGGTGGTGGTGAGGAGCCCCTCGGCGAGGACGCAGCCGCAGGAGGCGCAGACC